TCTGGTTAAAGGCAGCAAAGAACAGCCTGTGTGACAGGAAAAGGGCTGGGGACAGAACCTGCCTAGAACTGAAATAAGGTCAAGCAGGCCAAACAGCCACAACCAGCACTGAGCAGGGGAAGCAGCTTTAGCTGAGCGACAGCTAAAACCAGTGAATCTACATCACACTCTGGATGTGAAGGGTGCCTCACCCATCAGGAACAGAAAACAGTTCTCAGCTGGTTGGATTTGCTGGAGCTCCAGCCCTCCTGAGACTGACATGGAACCAGGGGTTGCCCAGAAAAGGGAGGAAGGAGACTGGCTTGTGGTTAGGTGAAGTTAGAGTGGAACTAAGAAACATCGTTATTCAGCTCAACCTCTGCCCGAGATCATAGAGCAAAACAACTACAAACAACAAAGTCAAATACATTTATGTTTAAGCTTTGAAGAAAATCCTCCATCAAATGAATGGGACAGCTCTCCTCTGGGTGTGCAGGCAAACACAAGGTTTGGATGATGACAGTGGATGGCGTATTTTGGCCTTTTCCCCACAAACTACTGAGGCTGCAAATTAGAGGGTTAAAGGAGAAGTAAAGGCAATGGGGTTTGTTACTGATAAGGTCAAAGAACAGATTACTCTGTCAGATAATAAACTTGTGGCTTTCTAGGGCTGACCTACCACATTCCCAAGGTCCTCTATCTATGTCCCTAACACAGTTTCCTTTGGTTCGGATTTCACCATCAACCACCTTCAAGGTTCCTTTCAGACTATGTTTCTTATACTGCCAGTTGTGTCTGGGGCTCAGGGCCATTTCTGCTTCCTCAACTCTGACTCAGTGGGAGGTGGAAGCAAAGCAAAGTGTGATCTTGTCATTAGCTGTGATTAAGAGTTTTTGTAAGTGGCACAATGCATAACAAGGAATACAACAGTTTATGGCATCTTGGTGGCTTGCACAGGTGTTCAAAACCGTTAAGATAAAAATACTTGTTTTAGACTGTCGCTTCCTTCAGCACCACAGCAGCAGTGCTGTGAAGCCTCAGTGCCAGCAGCTGTGACCAAAGTGTTTCCCCCTCCGTGGTGAAGTGCACAACTGGCATGTTCACAATACACAGTACCAGGCTGAGGACAGGAATTCCCAACCCCATCACCCCAGGGCACACCCTGTATCTCCATTCCCTGTACTTCTGGTTCCAGCTGTGAGCCCAGCAGAGGTGAAGCTCCCAACCTGGGACATGGGACTTCCTGAAAGAAACTCGCAATTGCCAGTTAAGCCTTTACAGCAACTGTTGACAAAGTTATGAAAGTGCTAAATTGTTATTTTTGGTACATCTATTTTTGCAAAACCCCCGTTTGAAGCAACAGTTATTTTTGTGGTGGCTTGTATCCTACTGACAGAGCTCCCACAGCGACTCCAATAACATCACACGGGTCTGTTATGCAGGACAGGCTGGTAAAGTCAACCCTGGACTCAGAAGCTTCTCTCTGTTACTCAAGAGTTAAAAGGAAGAGATGACTGTGGCTCAACACTCACTTTTGAAAAGTATTCAGAAGATTTGGATTAAGTGATGACTCTCATCGTACGCTGCAACATTAAGTTACGTAAGAGAAATTATGTCAAGAGTTTTACAGCAAGATCTAAATTCATGAGATCAAAAAGACATAACATGAATAAATTTGAATGCACTCTTGTTAATCTCTGAAGGTTAGATTAATTCACTTTCCAAAATTTGCAGGTGACCATATGCATTTATACTAAACTTGGCTTTTCAGCAATTATTGTAATGATTCTTCTAAATATTTTCACAGAGGGACTCTGCAAATGTGTTTTTCATTTTTTTGATAGTAAGCACCATTTTTCCATCTGAGAGCAAAACTCTACTTCAAATATCTCTCCAACGCATTTTCAGTAATTCTCACTTATCAAGCAATTTATCTCAGCCAACATCAATAGCTATGCAGGCTATAAAACTCTAAATTAATAACAATCCAAACCCAACCAAGTAATTTTCACCCGCCTTTAAATATTAAATACAATATAATTAATACCATTTTGCCCCAGATTTTCTTTGGGCTTTTGTTTCTCCAAGCCATTTATAACTGAATATATACTGTCTTCTTTCCTGTCCTAGGAGAAAAGAAAGTTTTTTGTTAAATTAGTCACAGAGCCATGTTCTCTGAGTTAATACTTGTAATGTTGATGTCAGTATTGCTTAACAGAAATTCCTGGTTAAGAAAAAAAAATTAAAGATAAAATCTGAATTTCAGCACAGGTTGTTTATTACCACAGGTCATTTGCCTCCTCACAGAAAGCCACACTGTAATTGCAGCTGTAGAGCAGCATCAGTAGAGCTCTCGAAGCCACACGACACAGTGGCTCACAAAGATAGGAAGGGACTTCCTGAGTCAGGGCAAAGCCATGGCAGGGGCACAGGGGAGGAAAGATGTTCTTGATCAGGTTTTCAAGATATTCAGTAAAATGTAACACATATAAACCATGCAATAAATGGTAAGAGGGGGAGTATTCACTCATCCTTCAGTTCCATGAGTAATGAAGGTGATGTTGCTGGACTGGCTCTTCCCATCTGAGCCTATGGAGAAGAGGAGCAGCATCCTCCATGACCCAGGTTCAAGAGCTGAGGCTGATCCAGCTGCTCTGCACTGGCTGGCACAGCAAAGCCTCAGGGACAGCAGTGCAAGTGCTTCTTTAGCCCACTGTTTGACATCTGGCCTTGCCCACAGGAGTCAGTGGGGGTAACAGAGAACACCGTGTAACTGCTCACACACAAACTGCTGCAGAAAACACTGCAAAAGCCAGAAATCCTCCAGCTCCTCCTCTGCTCTATGAAGAGCCAACCTTCCCCCAGGTGGGCCCTACACATCATGTGCTTGAACTTGAACACCTTGGGAGGCAGAGCAGTCTCTTCCAAGCAGTTCCTGAATGCTGGGGCAGCAAATGTCCCTGCCCCGTGGAAGGTTCCATCCCAGTGTCCAACTCTTCACCTTGACGTTTCACATGCACATGGTAATCCAGTGCCCAGCTAGAACTCAATTCCAACCCTTTGTACTGACATTTTTGTTAAATTTCAATAAAACAAACATAAAATGTAACTAAAAGCCAGGCCTCAGGTTAACAATAATGCTTTGAAAACTTGTCCTGTAGCTTCAGACTGTGTGCACAGCTAACAAAAATAAACACTGGAGCACTGTGGACAAAACTAACCAGGCCATGTTAAAAGGAATGTTTAAATAATTAAACAAAAAACCAAACAAACCCAAAACCCTAAACAACAACAAAACCAAAACAAAAACCAAAACCCAAGCTCCAATAATTTAAGAACTTTTTATTGTGCTAGGAGCCTTGGATCAAGCCTCAAAACAAATTAAAAGAAGTCCAGACAGCTAGGAATCTGCAGATACGATCTTATTCCAGCTGAGTAAAAGCTACATGTGTAACAAAAACATTGAGTGTCCCGGTTTTCCATGCTTTAGCCTTCTGTTTCTAAACCAGGCGTGTGCTTTCCATGCTTTCTAAACAACACACTTCCAGGAAGTGTCACTGAAAACTCTCGTAAATCTCCCACGTATCCAGAGCAGCAAAGAGTTCTGCTGCTACAAATAAAATGGAAGATTTTACACAGAAGCCACTGGAAGAAAGTTCCTGAATACTGATATTTAAATATATTGCATAGCTCCCAAGTAACTCTTTTATAAAATTCAACCCCCAAGGCATCTTTGTCCTGTTCCTAACCTCCTTTTCAAAGCCCCTGTGCTTCCATTCCATGTATTTACATCCTTCATTTCTCTGTCTTTAAACACTTTAAACACCCAGTATCAGTGGCCACGGAACTTCTCTCTTTAAGATACTGAAAAATCAAAGTAATTTGAAAAAACTATCTTCCTAGTTCAAGCTGTCAGAATTTGATGACTGTGCTAATTAATTTTTCACATTTGGTCTGAATAGAACTCTAATTGTATTTAAAAAAAAAAAAAACAACCACCAAACACCTAAACCTACAGAGCAGTTATTTTCTCATCTCACTAACAAGTTTTAACCCTTTAATGTCCCTAAAGTGATTAAAAGTTGAATTGCTATATAGCTGTATCTTTTATAATATTATATGAAAAAGCTGCAGTAAGGGATATGAATATAAAAATACAGGATACCTTTTAAAAGCTTTAATGTGAAACATTTATGCTCTGCTTCCATAGTACTTGGACAATGTGTTTCCTCTCCATGTCAGTTTGGAAGGAATTATTTGTGACCTTCTTCCCAGCTTTTCTCAGCCACTTTACACACTTTATTTATACCCCAAATCATCTCCTTACTAGGACTTAGTTTTGTAATAGTTTTAGTCAGTCAGTTTTGGTCAGTCTCTTTCCCAGACAAGGCCTTTGTGCCAAGTCCTGCAGCCTGGAAGTTGGATCCGGCTGATCCAAACAGGCTCTCACATGACCCGGGTCAAGGTTAGGTAACCAACCATCTGCTTGAGCGAGTCAGCAAAACACACGCTGCAACCTTAACTAAAAAAGCTATTTCAGGCAAGATCCAGCAGCTCAGGAGCTAACAACCCCCTGCAGTTTCCCAGGAAAAGGACAGAAAACCCTCCCCACAAGTAAAAAGGGGTGCAAGGAACAAGCCTATCAGAATTCCAGTCCATATCTCTCCAGAAAAATCCCCACATGCAGGACACCTGAAACTCTAAACTCTTCACACAGGCAAAAGAAGGCAAAAAAACCCCATTTGTGCTGAATTCTTTATGGATTTCTAGTCATCATCTATTTGTAAGACAAAATTCTATCAGAAAAAAATAGTAAAATTAATGTAGTTTAATTTTCTAATTAAACAACTTTAATTTATACAAACAATAGATTTTATTTCCTCTCCAATTAAAATATGTTCATTATGCTTAATAACACTGTGGTTACATTAATAACAGTCTAGTTATAAAACAAAAAACCAACAGAAAGCAGCCTTCTGTTATAAATTATTTTTTTTGCAGGTGAGAATCAAATACACTGATCAAGGAACAATTGGGTTGCACTTTATTTTACATATTCATTACATTACACAGCATAGATTTAAAAAAATAGAAAAGGTAGGTATTAAATTTCTGTGTATTTGATTTAAAACTTTTCCCATGTGAAAAACTATATTCTGTATGTTCTATATTCTAAATCTCTTAGTGTGCAGAACTCAAAAATATAGACACATAACACAGTACTCCACAAAAGAAGTCACATAATTAAGAAGAGTGATCATAAAACAGCTGTACTTAAATACAAAGCTGTGATACTTTTTTAATTGGAAATGGAGGCTCAGTCCAGTACGAAAAAGTTTTGAGTATTTTAAGGTGACTCTCATTGAAATAGTTTTTAACTTGCCCACTCCTCTGATGAGGGGCACAAGGTGCATAAAAAGTCCTCCATTTCTGTTGAGTTCTCAAAAATCAATGAAATTATTGTACATTTCATATACAGAGACACATATCCTAACAGACACACTTACAAAGTAGAAGTAAACATAAGGTGAAGTATTGCAGCAGCAGCTTTGTGTGTATACTCTGAATTATGTCACAACCACATCTTGTGAGAAATAATATTTTCAATCTTACATTGAAGAAGAAGAAGTTAAAATCTCAGCTATAATACACATGTATACAATAGTATTTTAAATTAACTTACTTACAAATTTTATACAGGGACAGGCTCTTTATAAACTGTATTTGCATAAACTTCAGTCATACAGAGTCCTACCAAAGTGAAGGAATGATCACATAAAGGTTTGCATCATTTGGGCTTTCAGTCTATGAACTGAAGGTACAAAATATGCAGCTTTGCCTTTTAATATTGCTTTTTACATACAAAAAAAAAATCACTTCAGAAAAATAATTTAAATAATTTTTGAAGTGTTAAAACGTGTATAGTTTGACAGCAGAAAAATCTAACTCCTGCCATATGGTTCCATCCTGGAATTAACTGATTTTTAACGTTACATTGCGCATATTTCATGCAACAAAGCAGGAAACGTTTGCTCCCTAGTGCTGTGTTTTTCACTAATACATAAAAATGTCCTGCTTTCTCATAATATCTGTGCGACACAGAGGGCACTCACTAAGTACTTGAGCACATTCCTTACAGGCAACTAAGTGACCACAGGGAATGAAGACAACTGACACGTCTTTAGCCATACAGATTTTACAAAGCTTTTCTTCTTGCAAGCGTCTTAACTTCTCTTCAGTGCTGAGGTCTGAGGAAAATAAACACACAAAAAAATATTAACATACTTAGGACCACTGAATCTCATTCTTTTTTTGTCTCTCTAAACACGAGGACATTTTCCTCATACGATTTAAAGGTCACACCCTTAAAAGAACAAAAAAAAAAATTACGAGAGGAATCCCAGCTGCAGCATGGAATCCTCTTTTTTTTTTTTTTTTTTTTTTTGCCCATAATGTCCATTAAAAATCTTATTAAAAGGGTAGGCTGGTAAGATCTTTGCCTACCATGCCACCCATATGCTTGTCTTAAATTCCAAGTCTCCTGAATCAGAACTCCTGGCTTTGGTCTATTTGCAGAGTGCACCACAAGGGCTTTCTGAGCATGACTTGCACATCCCAGCAGAGCTGGAACGCAAAGAACTGAAAAGAAACACCAATTAGAAGTACAGTTCTTCTCATTGGCCAAGAAGGAAAATGCTTCTATCCCAAGCAAAATTATATACTGAAAAAAAACCCAATCCCCTCCTAAGACTTTCCATACTGAGCTCGAATATCACAGTGTATCACTGTGCCCATTTCATTTGCCACAAGGTGCCCCACCCCTACAGTTATTCTTGCTTTCACTACAATTTTGGCTTTTTTCTTAGCAAGTATAACCTTTCCCAGAAGCACCCTAGACTGCCAGTATTACACACTTCTGAGGTACTAATATTACTTATTTTATAAATGGTACTTTTAAATGCTGCTACACTCAAATATTTGAACGCCCTCTTTGTTCAGCATTTTGAATGTCCAAACACAAATCCCTTGAATGTTAAGTTACAATACTGTAACTTCACCTCAGGTAAGGCTGGGACCAGAGGGTAGGATAAACAGATAACAATAAAAAGTATTTCACAGACTAAAGAGCTGATATGAAAGTACACACAGAGGTTTTGTAATTGAATAAGCTCATCTTGCTCAATTGGGATTTCATTTGGTTCTTCTTCCCTTGTATTTTCTTTCTCAGTACTTAAGTCTGCTACCAGATCCTCAACAGATGTGTGACTTTCTCCAGTCATCTGCAATCTCTTTTCCATGGTGTTCCTAATCTCAGACAAACTGAAACCCATGGCTATGGCACTTTGTACCAAAGGATTCTGTAAGAGACCATCTAAAAAAAGAAATTAAAAAAAAAATAAAAACAATTTAACGAGGACGAATCTAATTACTGGACACTATTCACTACAGTACTCTAAGACACCTTTGCAAATACGTAGCCAAAGGAACAATATTTCCAATTTGAGAATTTTGCTACTTGTAAAAACTGCATTGTCAAAACACCCAAAACTGCAGGTTTGAGGTTTTTTCTATCCTAGCTTTCCCAGTCTCCCTTCATCTACTTATTATATAGAAATCCTCCCAGATTTGCTGTTCAAATTAACTACTTAAATAACACATCTCTTATAACTAGTATCACTACTTCTGTAACTGAAATTCATTCAAAATTCCAAGGCACAGTGGAAAAGTAAGTATTTGGTAACAATACTTTTAATTCAGTTCAGGGAAGAAAAAAAAATCATACATATGTTGAGAGAAACCAATAAATAATCTGAATTCATAAAACCAAAACACAGCACCATCAGCAGGCAAGCAGGTCTATCCATGGTAAGACACAACACTGCTTTGGGAAAGCATTTTTCAGCATGTTGGACCTTCCCCTTCCTTTTACTTATCAAGAATGTTCAAAGAGCAAAATTTTTTAACCTAATTTTCACACTCATAAATGAGCAGCGTGAGAGGTTTCTTACACAGGTTTTGTGTAACCACTCTTAGAGGCAACTGCTCTCATTCCCTGGGATGAAGCTGCTTGACTGCCCTCCTGCTACCCCTTTAACTGTCCGGTCTTTTTATTGCTTGGTATTTGTACAAAGCATTGCAGGAATGTGAAATACTGGAACACAACAAACTGCTTCAGCTTTCTCAGCTTCCTAGTCCTTGCCATTTAACAGCCCAGCTCTTCCTGCCCCATGAGAAAGGACTCAGTTCAGTATTCCTGAACATCCATCCCACAGCACTAATTCCATAGCTGATGCACACTCACTGCTGCAGCACTGCATCCTGTACATTCTCCTTCCATGGTTCAGCAATCCCTACTTTACAATATTTACCAAACCATGACTGTATTTCCCCTGAGAGAAATAAAATTCATTCTGCAGTTCTTTGGAAGCAATGTAGCAAGGGAAGAGTATCACCCAACAATTTGCCTGTCATGCTTTATTTAAAAGTGTAATATGGTTATTTTTAAATTTAACCATTTCCTTTGCTATACATTCAAATATGGATATTCCAACATAGGGGGGGAATACCTTTAGGAAGTATTGTCCCTTCAGCAGCTTCTGTCTAAAAGTGAAATACAAAAAGACAAAATTACAATTCTGAAGAAGTAGAAGGAAACCTACACAGTTACAAACCAGAAAATAGCTATTTGATCTCCATTATTTATTAAATCCACTCTGAACAATTGCAAAATGACCAGTATTTTGTTATCCCTTTCATACTGTCTGAAAGAAGAAAAGAAAATATATCTATCTTTATTAATCATAAACCTTTGGCTCCCAGGCTATAAAACAAACGGCACTTATTCAGTACCCAATATACAACATAGACAGAGGGCCCTGGCTGTGATCTATGATCCAGCTGCAGAGTGCTGGGAGATTGTAAACTCTGACTGACAGAACCAAAACCAGACTCTGCCAATGACAAGAGCAGCAGGAGGATTAAATGATAGATACATAAGAAGAGTAACTTCATATGAAAATGATGTTAAGACTTTTTCTATTTTAACAGAACATTTAATAAGCAAGGGCACTTACTGTTGGATCACTACATGCATCTCTTAAGTGAACATTATTTATAAATTCTATCCCCTTTTCCTTGCTCAAAAATCTGCACCTAAAAATGAAAATATTCAGTTTTACTAAAACCACATAAGAAGCAAAAATTCATTACATAATTTTGGAGGCTTTGATAAATTTCCTACATCATTGAGAGTGCTTGCTTTTAAAATCTCCAATGTTTAGTCAACACTTGTGATGTCATGGAAACATTTCTAGAAATATCTTAATCACTTAAGCAGTACTTATCTTCCTCAGTTTTTCAGTGAAACAGAAAGCTGAAGAGTTGTTGGCCATGACAACAGCTCATGCCACAAAAAATAAAGACCAATTAAAAACATACATTATGTTAAAATGCTGGTTCTTTTAGTCTTTTGCAATCAAAGCAGTCACTGGTAGGACAGGTGCCTTACATGCTTTCTTTCACTATTTTCCAGCCACTCTTAGCCACTGGGCAGAGCTCTTCCCTAACAGAAGATGTAGGGAATGCCACAACTCCTTGGCCATAGTTCTCCAGCTGCAGCAGTTCCCTCCCCTTCAGGGACACAGCCAGCAGCTGTGACACTGCCACTGCCACCACTGTGCCAACAAACCCCCAAACAGGACTGGGAATCTGAGAGGATCTAATCAAATCTGACATCATTTAAGCAACCGAAACCAAAATCAAAGGGAAATGTAGCAAGAAAACACATCTCAACCATTTGCTGCACCAAGCCAAAAACTTGGAATTGTATCTCTTTCAAGTGGCAGAGGCCAATAATTAAAAGCTGCCTGTTCCACTGTTAGAAAAGAGAACAGCTAATACATAAATACCCATCTCAAACTTCCAGAGAGCCTTTCACCACAGAAGAGAAATTTGGCAGCAAACACATAAAAGACATTGATTTTATCAATGTTACAGAAGTAACTGAGACTTTGTACTTGGACAGCTTCTGTCCACTTGTAAGAACTACTGAGTCATATACTGTTCTTCCTTTCCCCAATACAGATTTAAGACAACATTGTCTGTCTTTCTAAAAAGTGATTCTGGGTTTGGAATCCTCCATCCTTTAAAATTATACAGAACTGTGTTTTGAATTCCATGCCACTGCTGAATTCTTCAGCTCTGTTTGCACTGTGACAGAAGCTGAGTCATTTTGTATCCCGGTATAAGTTACAAACGTTGACCTGTATGTAGCTATCAAAATAACTATCAGAATGTAGCACTTGGATAATGAGGAAAAAATATCAGATACATATTCACAAAATGACATAATTCTTCTTGCTGAGAAACCAGTTAAGTCCAGACACAGAAATCTTCCCTTCCCTTTAATAACGTCTACAAATAAGCCAACATAAAATTTTTTTCATAAATCTAAACGTTAAGCCATAATTAACCTTCTGAAACCTTTATTAGTATGCTCTGTCATCAAAATGCAACATACTGTAAATAAGACTCAGACATGCACCAAGAAAACAGTAAAAAATGCCTTACCCAGGGAACCATTTGGCATGTTGATCCCATGGATCTTCATTTTCCTTCCATTCTTGCAATCCTCCACCACAGTGGAAACACACAACATGATCACCATTACCTGAGGAACCACACAAGAATTTCTAGTAAGTATAACATTAAGTTTTCAACTAAAAATGTTACATTAATAAGAAATAAAATCTTTATTTTACTGATTCACAATTTCAACTAAAAAAACCTCCATTTTAGTGGAGGACAACACACATGATTTAAACCAAAGGTTCAGGAGAGAACTGAGACTAAAAAAAAATACAACATAAGAGTAGCATCAAGTTTTCCTGAATTTTATTTTAGTAAATAATTTTAGATAAAAAGCAAAAGCTAAAAATAATAATCTATTTCCAAGTAACTCCATCCAATGGTAAACAAGCCCTGAAGATGTAGGCCACAAAGAATTAGGAATGTTTACATGTCTTTTTGGTCCTTCATTTCCATGTTAAGTTTAACAGGCCCTATGCAGCAGTGGCATAACCAGCTGAGGAGAATTGCATTCTCTCTGCTCTAGCACTATGTCCAATGTAATCCACAAGTTTTTGAGATGAGAGGAAGTATGGACACCGTTTTCCTAGAAGGTTAAATCATTCTCAGCTCCCAGGAAACAGTTTTCACAGAAGTCACCTGAACAGCCACAGGGCTGATAAGCTGGTGCCCAGTTACTGCACCTTCACAGTACAGAACTCTTGGTACTTTTAGGAATTCAAGAAGAAATCAATAAAAACATTTCTGCTGGGTACAAATATTGTCCATGTATAACCCATACAGGAATATATCAAAGGTTATTTATGGCCACAAGTCGAACAAACGGAATCAGATTAAGAAGTTCTTCCAAGAGCTACTAAGAGAAGTCAATTAAAAAGAGAGCAAGAGATTAATTCCTTTTCTTTGTGACCTCACTCTTGGCACTCATACAGCACCTCTCAGCGAGGAATTTCAAAGGTCTTTAATGACACTGTGCAATTCCATCTAACTGGGAAACCAATGCACAGAGACATTGGAGTCCTTTCTAAGTCAAACATCCCATGTCTAAGAGTAAAAGCTCTTCCACTGGCATCAGTGTCTTCACTGAGCTTTTCCAGTAGGCAGTCGTGGTATTTGCTAGTTCTGGGTGTCCACATGCCATAACAATGCAAACATGTGTTAACAAAGTAAAATGGCACACAACCTGCACTGTCTTGTTCATGGGCCTCTGTGCAGGCCACAGGCCCTCTCCTTACATCTCAGCTCTCCAGGACAGCAGTTCATCTCTTAAAAAATATTAACTCCAATAACTGTCAGTGTGAAAGATGTATTATGAGGGTTTTAGCAGGCAAGGAAAACATTTGGCTGTTTTACTGCTAGAAGTAAATTTATGACCAAGTTTATATTTTGCTATTAAACATACCTGATATAATGTATATCATTTTACACAAGTGTGAGAAGCAGTTTACAGAGGAATGAAATTCTGGCAAATCATTCCATATTAGAGTTTTTAAAAATGCCCTTTTTTCCATAACAAGACATTTTCTCATTTACATTTTCTTTGTAAAAGGTATTAGCCATTCTAAGGTCTGGCTTACCTACGCTGTAGAACCCAGCTTCTGCAAGTTGCTCTTTGTCCACAGGATATATCCAAGATAAAAACGTTTGTAAACGTCTTCCATATTTTGCCATAGATGGATTCCTTGGGTGCTGTGCATTGTTCAGACCACTTATCCCAAACTCATCGGGAATAGATTCACTTGGAACATTTCCAACATCCCGGCCCAGTACAAAAAGGCATTTGGGAAAATGCCTCTTGTGTTCTGACCAAGCTCTGTCGGTGGGTTCCCAGTTCTTTAATTTTCCACCACAACAAAAACACGCCACTTGATCACCAACCCCTGTATAATAAAACCCAGCATTAGCCAATTCCTTTGGTGTCAGTTGGTCATTGAGGGGCCAGTTGTGAAAAGACTTCAACCTTGTTTCTTCGCTGCACATAGCAGGGTTTCTAGGATACAAACTATCTGACATATCCACAACCTGCCTAGTTCTCAAAAGGTAATCTGCCTCCACGTCAGGGTCATCCAGAGCACACAGGAGGGCTGAATTGCTGGAACCATTTTCAGTTCTGTGCTGGTAGTTCTGGCCTACAGGATCCACATCATCTTCCAGAAAAGCAGAGTCAGTAATAAATTTGCAGTTTGGGGAAAGCTGTTTGTGTCTCTCAACTGCAGAATCCCCAGACGCCCATCCTTCCACAACTGCATGGCAACTGAAGCACTTCACTTTGTCACCTTCTCCAGTGTAAACAAAGCCAGCTCGTGCCAGTGCTGCCGCCGGCACCGGGCAGCCAAGGGGGAATTCAACAAACGTTCCCAGCCGGCAGCGTTCCTGTGCCCAGTCCTGGCCATGGGCAGCGTCTGCAGTGGCACTGTCGGGATTAGGAGGGACATTACACGTCATCTCCTCATATGCAGGGCTCTCCTTTAGGTTTCCTAAACAAAGAATATCTGGTTTAGTTTCACAGACAGAAGGGTAGATCACACCCACACACAAACTGGAAACTGGCTAAATTCAAGTACAACCCTTCATGTATTAAAATGACTCTTCCCTTCCATCTCACCCATTACCTGCCACTCAGAGGCAAACAAAAAAGCTTTTGTACTTTTGCTATATTGTAAAAACATATCTCGGTTTACCTTTGAGCAAAAAATCTTGTGAAATAAACTATTAGGTGTTTCACTGGGGCATATTAACACTGCTCCCAAGATCAGTGTCAGAAGATCAGAAGGCTGCCAAGAGGGCTCAGACAAGCCCCATCTCTCCCGAGGATGAAAGAGAAACTTGGCTACAGCAGGTCCTGTGCAAGAACCACAAACTGACAGTCACTGCCTTCATCCCAATGTGGATGAAATCAGAGCACAGTAAAAATTCACCCCTTGTCCAGACAAGTGCAGTGATATTATTGACTTAGAAAGTCTTGGTTGTTGCCCACACACATCTCAGAGTGGTAAAATAAATTATTGTGAGAATGCCCAAATCAACTTCTTAGCACAAAGCAATAATAATTCAGTAATTAGCAAAAAAAAAAGATAACAGAATATGTATGTATTTGAACAAGTGTCCTTCTCCATTTTCTATGTGAATCCTGAAATACGTCTATTTCCAGTCCTCACCTAAGTTAGGCCAGTAGGAAAAAAATTTACCTTCTTCAACACCTGCATTAAAATTGATTATACTTTCTGTGAGGTCAAGGCAGATGTTATAATAATTGCTTATATAATACCAGATTTAGTTTCTACAGGAAGGACAAAAGCATTTTTAGAATTCAGAAGGGAGAGGGGAAATTCAAATGCCTGTGCGTTGCAGGATTGCTGCATCCTCTGCCAAGATGACAAAGATAATTAAGGTATAAGCATGTGGAGAAAATGTGACGTCAGAGACCCAGCATGAGCACTTCAGGTAATCACAAGACTTCCTAGCACCAGCTTTAATTCCTTCTGTATGTCAGCTCATGACTAATGTAATGACACCAGAAATTATACTGTAGCTTTCTATTTTAGCTTAGCAACTTCAAAAATAGCCTCTACATAAATTACATTGACTGACCTACAAATCTGACCTATATGCTTGTTTTGACTTTGAAGGGCAAAAAACCCAAACCAAGTAATTACATGTGGTACTATGAAAGCTGTCACAAAACATGTATTTTTATATACTTATATACTGAAAACAATTGGATTTTCATAACAAAAGTTTAAAAGTTCACATTTGCTTCCTTTTAAAATTGTATTTTAAAACCTCTAGAACTGTTTCTGTAAAGATCTCAAGTGACTTTTATGCATCTGTCATCACTACTACTACTACTACACAGCATTCATGAAAGAACTGGTATTACAAATAGCTGCAAAATTTTCTTATATGACATCTGAAAGACTTTCTGTAAGAAAATAAAGCCTACCTCATATCTTCCAGAGATTCCTCAAACTGTCCATTGGAAAACCAAAACAAATGCATATGCTTTCACTGTATGAATAGCAGTGTCTTCATTTCTACTTTGTTTATATAGAAATTAATCCAGAATCAGTGAAAAAACTCATCCTATTTAAATTGTTGCATATTAACCTTTCTGTTTTATATTTACTTTAAAATCAGAATAGAGACTCTATATCCCTCTTTGATAACTTTGATCAGAGATGATCTACTCAGCCAGTCTCTGTAATTTGCCTTCCCTGTCCTCGGTGAAATCAGAGGTAAAGACAACAGTCAAGCCTGACAGAGCTCAAGAATTTACTGGAGACACAAAGATCACCCTTGGTTTGTGCTTTTTTTGTTCATTATGTTGTATTCCGTGATCACATATTACAATGATGACTACGACACGTGAAGTTAAAAAGCAGTTATGACAGAATTATTTACGGCTCCACTTCTCACAAACTACCTACATGTTCTGTTGTGAGCACCACTTACCTGCTCCCATATCAGAACTCATCTTAGAATCTCTCATTCTTAAAGAAAAAATAAGTCTGATACAGTAGTGTCATATGCATAAAGAATGATATATATATATGATATGAACTTGCTTATAACATGAATGCACTACTTACAGAAAGTAACTTATTTTTCATAAGATAAAGAAGATATTTTACCAAAGCCATTTGAACAAATATTGTCTCTTAAGTAAGGCCCAGATTCTCCAGTGCCCTCTGTCAGGGATGATCTTCAAACCATATGTAAAATTACATATTTATGTCTGTGCTGCATGAGCAAGCCTGAGCCTTGCAGTCCTTTTCTGGATTCTTTCACTAAAGCTCTATCCCTCCAACATCAAAGAAACCTGAGATTATCAGCTTTATTCTTTCAAACAGTTTGTTCTAGAGTGCTATGAATACTTCAATACTCCCATTAACACAGTGAATTAAAAAAAAATTATGCCCTCAACATGGCAATAACCAAAATATCTGCCACATTTGGAGTCTCTGGAGGTAAGCAATCTACCTCAACCTCACAATCAAAACAGTATGAAAAGCACACACCCAGAGAGCAGAAAGTACTGACGCAATTCTTTCTATTAAACTGACTTTTTCAAATTGTATCAGCTACATGGTTGAATCATGATCTCTTGGAGTAGAAAGGTTCAACTAACAAGTCCCTCACAGGTATCTGTCAGCTTTAATGGTGCTCCATCCACGTTACGAAGCCCTTTCCTTACAACAGCCCCTCTAAACACGGCTGGTTAACATTTCAGGATAATTTAATCTATGAGAAAAAGTCATTACCATATCCATTAAGCATTGAGGCAAACTCCTTGCTTGTGTAAGTACTGTTTTATATACAACACTACTACTGCTTTAAATGCAGCATCAAGTCCAATTATTTCTATTTCAATCAACTTAAAAACAACCATTCAAACTGTAAAATTACAACTAGTTCAGGAACAGTATTTCTGCACAGGTATTTCAACAGTTGCCTCACTCCAGTTAGTTGGAGTAATGATTTAGAGCAATATCCTGCATCATAGCAGCACTCAGACAGGTACTATCTGCAGAAGAAAAATGACTGAGGGTAAATTTTTGAATAGTTTATGGCTAAGAAACATAATTTCACAAAAATCATCCACCTAAGATAGGTATAAAAGACTTTATAATACATACCAGTAGCAGAGCTGAGTTCAGACTATACTTTATGTATGCAGAAGTTAATTAAGCCTTTCTGCATAGGTTTTAATTAAGCACACATGAATCAAAAGTAGAACATCCAGAAATGTTAGAGATCATCTTCACTCATAAAACCCAGCTATTTTAACTATTATTGAAGCATTCAATATTTCCTTGTACAGTGAGTAAACAAAATCTATTTTAGCCTGAAAGGCTTCCAGAAACTGAGCCAAGTTTAATCCTCCTTTTAAACACCTGAAGGCAATTTGCCACAAGACACCACCCATTTCCAAGCCAAAGTACCAATTTAGGTAGTCCATTGATTATGTTTCAGCAGAAGAGATAACGACAAAAATTTATAGAAAAAGAAAGTTAACTTATTCAAAATGCAAAAGTGTATACTGTAGTTCTGCAAAAAGACCCACGCTTAATTCAGCTTAAAAAATATTAACAGGTATGATTTCATGCAAAAATATGACACTATCATATTACCTAGATCTGAAATGCTTCAAAGGAAAAGTACAGAACCCACTGTCCCTTTCAAGTAGATTTTATTAGATATGGTTATTTCTAGCCCTAACCCTAAAAAAGATTGGCATTTTAAGGAGTTATTTTTAACTCTTCCACATGACAAGCATGGCAGGAACCTCCAAATAAGAAATGCACTTGCACAGCCTCGTGTTCCTGACCAAAGGGTACATAAACATGGAGCTTCTGCCCCTTGCTTGCTGACTGTAAGAGCAATGCTAGTGTTTATTGTTGACTGAATTTTGAAATGCGAGTAGTGCACCAAGTAAATATCAAACAGAACATACTGTACCGGCTGACACACAGATTATGCACATGTCACTTCAGTGAACTTCAGTTTCTGCCTGCTCAGCTGCAACCAGATCAAGGAAGGTGCGTGCTGCTAACTGGAAGTGCACTTGTAAGGATTAAAACCACCAGAAACATAGGCTCTATTTGAACAGTCTTTACAAATTTTAGCATATTCACATCTAATTATCAATAGCAATTTTTTAAAAAATTCTGCCTAGAGATTTTTTTACTTTATTTTAGAGAGAAGGTGTGTGTCTACAGAATGCCTCTTGATTCAGTGCCAAAGCTTACATAACCCATCAGCTCAGCTTCATCTGTCTGCTCTTCAGACAGGTCCTACTTAGCCTCCCATCAGGGTCAGTCATCACAGGAAGTCAGTCAGCTGCTCAAGGTTACAGCAGGCTATTAGAGCCTCCTAATTTTTTACTTTAGCCACCAAGACTCTTACACTCTCCCCATCTTTGAAAAGTACATTACCAGGCCAACAGGAACATACCATTCTGAGAATTATTTTCACATTGTATTTTTCTTCATGAAGAAGTAATATGGGTACAGAATAGAGCAATAAACAAGAAAAACGGATTCACAGGAGGGCTCTCCATAGACAAGAGTGGGACAAATTTGCATCTAAGGGCAGAGAAAAAAAAGAATTGTTTTTGTGAACTTGCAAGTTAAATGTCTTCAGAAGAACTGTAGCTGCATGTATGAGAATGGAAAATTAAATACCAGCCACTACAGGAAAAACTGGCATGCCAAAGCCTAAGTTACTGCTCCTTTGGCTAAGAAACACAAAAATTACCCAGTCAACAGGGGTTAGTAAGGACAACAGGCAACAGTAAAAAATGCCCATCAAAACTTGCAGTGCCCTGAGTATGAGCCGTGCTTCAGATTTAGTGTTACATCCTTTTACAAACCCTTTAAACCTAAAGAAAACCACAGGAAAAGAGGGCATCTTTCATCAGGGAGCTGTAATGCTATGGAGCTTTAGCTACAGCAACACGATTAATGCCATGGCAAAACTGCTGAACCTCCTGCATTCTAAAGCCAAGCTGCAGAAGTGCCCAAGCTCAGGGAGTGGTGGCTCCTGCCTCGCCCCTGCCAAGGGCGTTCCCTGCCCCAGACAGAGCTCGGGCCCAGCCAGCTGAGCTCAGGGCACAGTCACAGCTGCAGCCTGGGGCACACGTTTGCCGTGTCACTGGCATGAGTATTTCGCTATTAAACAATGAGAAGAATCTGCACATATATTTTATATACATACATATATATATGTATTTAGACAAACACATCTCATCCTGTAAACTTGGAAGTCTGTCTTGAATTATCCTCTGTATTTTAATCTGAAATTCGATTTGGGGATTAATCCTAAGTATAATATTGTACCAAAATGGAAGTTGGAACCTGTTGGAAATGCTCTGTTTGCCTTTCTGCTTAATAAGCAGCTCTCCAAAACATAGAAGGAGAAGGAAAATGATTTGCAAGATAGGTGAAGCTTCATTTTACATTTTTACAATAGGAATGACACTCCATTCAAGCTTTGCAGCTTTCTTCATTCTTAACAACCTTTTAATCTTCATACACAGCTACCTTTTTCATATTCATAAATCTTGCTGTTCCTAGAGCCTGACTTTCAATCACCACATTCAGAATATTTTGGATTAGAACTCCATGAAAAAGACCACATACTATGAAAAATAAGAAGCAGCAAAAGACTGTACACTGTTAGTTGCTGAAACAAAAAAATACAAAAGGTACTTACAATAGTTCTCCCTAAGAAACTAGCATCCAATCAGACCAAGCACAGCAATAGATTAATCAAAGCAGATACTGGTTTCATCCCTATTTTCCACCAATCTTTAGAAGCAATTACAGTATTTACATTCCTGTTGATAGAAAAAAACAGAGATTAAAAAACTTCCTTTTCACATAACCTTTAGCATTGTTTCTGAAGGCACAACTTCAAAATTATGACCAAAAAAACATTTTAAAATTCTCTTGCGGTTAAGAAATCCAAACTAAAATATATTCTTAAGTTGAAAGAGTCTGAGGTCAGGGAAAATCTGAAATGTAGATGTTTTACTAAAATTAGCAAGGGATATAAGTTGGAGATACTCAAAAAAATCCAAAGAAAACAAAACAAAGTCCTGGAATTAAAAACTAGAGGGCAGCAAAAAGGAGAAAGACTGTTAACAGCAGACAGAAAAAAATCCCATGATCCAGACATCTCTCTCCTAGGAAATTCTGTATCGACTATAAATTGGATTTTCTGGAACTCTTCAGCTCCCTGATGCTGTCTCACCCACTCTGGGAGGACAGCAACAGACACAGAAGCCCTATCACAGATACACGATCAAATGAAATCCTTTTTCATACTTCTAAAATCGAGATATGATCACACTTTTTTTTTTTTGTTTTACTTTTCTGATAGCAAACACAAGTCTGCCTCATATCAGTGGAAGCAGTCAAAAAATACCACAAACAAACAACCACCCTCATCAGAATTCTTTCACTTTTGCTGCTGGTTACAAAGGGCAAGGTCAGAGGAGGAGCAGAACAATCATTAACTTGTTCCTTTGCCCTTCTTGGCCAATGCTGTGGGTGCCAAGCTTTCTACGGAAGGAAGTAGTTGGGGGTTCTTTAAAGGACTTCAAAGAAAACTGCCAAGCAATCAGGTAGCATAATGAAGCAATTAAGAAAATGAAAAAATATCCAAATAAAAGCTCAATCAACCAATCCACTACATGAGAGAATACTTCACTGTTGTCTTCTCTGTTACATGGGGATTTACTTCAGGATAAACAATGAGAACATTAAGTAAATGTATTTCCTACTGCTCTTCTTAAAGGTATTCGATTTTTTAAAAAAGTATTTGACAAAAAAGTGATTTTTCATACAGTTGGTTGCTTTCCCTCCCAAATCGGTATTCTAAGATCTTGTAGTTTCAAAGCGTTCATTGAAGAAAAAGCATCCTTCCAGTTAGCTACAAGTATAGCGAGGAAAACAGCAATGTAAGATTGTAGCAGGGAACGGATCATGAAAGCAGTGCTACAAACATATTTGTACTTTGTAGCAGATGCAGACTAAGAACAGTTAAACAAGACAAACATTACCAAGACTGAAATGAGTATTTACAACCATTTATAGGGCTTCTAGCAGGAAGATAGGAGCATCAGATAGTAACACAGAAGCAGAGATAAACTTAAAGAGAAATATATAAGCGTAAAAGCATAGCCATTGTGCAAAAGAGAACTGCTTGGAGTTTCAATTACAACTAAAAAAAAAAATATTACCTGACTGAACTTCTCCCTGCGGAATTCTTAAACACTACCGCGATCTTAACAAAGCAAACCAGAACAAAATCGCATTTTTATTAAGAAGAAGAAGAAAGGAAATTCTAGAAAGCCTGCTGGGTCTAATAAAAAAAACAGTAACAGAGCGGGCAGGGCTGGGTTCGGGGCAGCCCGGGCGGCGGCGGTGCCCGTCCCCATGGCAACGCCCCGCCGGCTCCGCCAGCGGCCGGGGGGGAACAGCGGCGGCCCGGCCGGCCCTCGGCCCCGCCGGGGCAGCGCCGTGAGGGCGGCGCGGGGACACCGAGACCCCTGCCCCGCGCGGGGACCCCGCCGAGCAGCGCGGGGCAGCGAGAGCCGCCAGAGCGGGCAGCCGTGCGGCCCGACCCGCCCCGGGGTCCCGCCCGCTGCCCCCGGTCCCACCGCTGCCCCAGGCACTGCCGGGTGCGGCAGTGCTCTCCTGACCTGAGAACTCACCGGGAGCGTCCCGTCCCGTCCCGCTCGGCGCGGCCCCGGCGCGGGAGCTGCTGGCGGTACCGCACGCTGAGAAGATGGCGGCTCCCGGCAGCCTCTGGGCCCCGCGGGCGGCAGCGGCGCCCCCTGCCGGGCCGGTGGGAGTCCGGCGGGGCGGCTCCGGCCGGCGGAGGGCGGCGCGTGGCGGCGGCGGCGGGAACTGCAGGGCGGGAGCTCCCAAACCCCTCAAACCGCCCCCTAAACCCCTCAAACCGCCCCCTAAACCCCTCAAACCGCCCCCTAAACCCTTCAGCCTCCTCAAACCCCTCAGCCTCCTAAAGCCCTCAGCCTCCTAAACCTCTCAGCCTCCTCAAACCCTTCAAACCCCTCAGCCCCTTCAAAACCCTCAGCCCCCTCAAACCTCTCAAACCCCTCAGCCCCTCAGCCCCTCAAACCCTCAGCCCCTCAAACCCCTCAGCCTGCTCAAACCCTTCAAACCCCTTAGCCCCCTAAACCCTTCAGCCCCCTAAACCCTTCAGCCCAAACCCCTCACGCCTAACCTCAGCCCCCAAACCTCAGCCTCAAACCCCTCAGCCCTGCGCCTCCGCTCCTCTCATGTCCCCATCCCCTCAGTGCCCCGGCTCCGTGCCGCCCTCGCCTCCCTCCCCTCCCCTCAGCATCTCCTGCAGCCCCTTCACGTCGTACCATCTTCTCCAGACGGTTTCTGCTCATCCCAAAATCATCTACCTATTATGACTAAGACTAACGTGGTTTTGGACGTTAAAATATTCTGTTTTAGAAGCTCAGGTGCCCTCATGGTTGGCCCAACACATTTTAACACAGTCAGGATAGTTGGCTGTATGTAGGGGACCTGCTCCCTGCTGTCCTCAAGAAAACTCAGCTACTTGGAGTAACGCCCTCAAACTTTTCTGGTTTTCCCATCCTGCATATGAACAGTAGTAACTTACTTTTTTCAGGTCATGTATCTCCAAAGACTAGTGGCAGATAGTCTGGGACAATTTCAGGAGACAGAGTCTAACTATACGATGTACCAGAAAGTTTGCAGATTCCAGGACTTAGACTGAGACCCCTTTTCAATAAGGATTGTTTCTCACTTTGCTGTCCAGCACCTACTAAAACCCCAGCTGGATTCAAAAAAGAATGACCCATAACCCAGAACTAATATTTTCTTACGCAGTATATTGGTGATTCAGAGCCTATAAGAAACAAACAGCTCTATTGCAACAGTGAGTCACATAAATCTAAACTCATTGCACATCAGTCCAAAGCCAGATCATTTATTTAAGAATCTTTGCCATAATACAATACAGTAAGAGGTAACACAGCAACGTGAACATGAATATTTAATCTTCTAATTCCTTGTCATACCGCATTATTAATACATTAATTAGCAATGATTTTCACAAAGGCCTTTGCTCTGGTGAGGTTTTGATACTTTTCCAAATGAAGCAGATTGTTTTTAGAGATCACAAGGTGTTTTTGCAGTGGGCCGCTTTCAGCTTTTGATGTCTAAATCAAAAAGTTTGGTAAAAGTTTGAGTCAAAAAGCTCTTCTATATATAGAAGAACTAGAAAATAAGAAAACAATGAAAACGAAAAACATCGTCAATAAGGACAAAAATACTCATAAAATCTTTATTTTCTTACCAAGCTATTTCTTTGTTTTCTGTTGAGTTTAACCAACTTAAAGTGCAGTTCAAATAAAGTTCTGAATGAGTCAGTGGAACTGTAAGTGAGAGAGTACAGTTGTACTATAAAGCCAACATGAAGCCTTTGGTGACCCAAAACCATTAAAACTAATTGTATTACTTCAAAGTAGTTTTGATTGTCAATAGAATTGTACAACGGTGATACTCGAGCTACAGAAAGTAATTAAACTTGCAAGAAAATCTCAAGCAATATCTTTGTCAACACTAAGTGGATGTAAACAAGTGTTGTGTTTGCTGTATTCCCTCTTTCATCTGAAATGTAATGAACAAAATTGTACCTAGAATTTGTTGAGAATTCTGCATTAAAACAAAGAAAAACATCAGTTTACTGACTTCATAAAGATATACTCTCTCTGAGCTTTTCTGTCTGCTTTTTTTTTTTTTGTGGAAGAACTTGTAGCCACTACATTATAGGCCTGAACTGACCACAGTGCAATTCCGTACTTTGAGTATCTTTGTCCTAATCTTGTATTTTAGTCTCAGATAAACTGAGAAGCAAACAAACAAAGAAAAGAACTGAAATGTAGAAGTGTACACATGCATGTGCACAATGGGGTTTCTGTAGTTATGTCTCCCTGCATTATGTATGTGAGGACTGCACTGTATTTTTTCAGCGTCTGTTATTTATGCAATGAATAAGTAAAGTAACCAGCCAGTTATCTTGGAAAGTCAGTGCTCTATAGCACACATGGTGGTACTTTATATACACACTCTTCTACCAAGCCTGGGAGCATTTCACAGAAAATTCATTTCTTCTACTCTGGAAAGTAACTTTCTCTACATATTATCACATAGGGTTGATTTAAACTGCTGTTCTTCATTAAAAATGTCATTTAAAAAAGTAAGCACAAGCTGGCTCAGGAATCTGAAGTGTCTGGGAACAGTGGTTTTGCCTGCAGCTCACTCGAAAAGATACTTCTGCTTAATGAAGGGGCAATACTTGGAGGCATAACGGGGAGCTGCCAACCACTGCCAATGTCTGACTAAGCAAAGTCCAGTGGGTGGATTTGGAGGGATTTTCTGCACGAGGTTTGGGTTTGGGTTGGGTTTTGTTTGGTTGTTTTTTGTTTTTTTTTCTTTCTGTGAAACATTAACATCTCATAGCTTGGACAATTTTCAAATTGGACAATTGCCAAATGCTTCAGGTTATTTCATGCAAAAATGATCTTTTAACATCCTTGTGTAGGTGGAGTATGTAACATTTTTGAGATTACCTTAATGTGAACCGTACTAAAATTTCTATTACAATTAGACTATTTTTTAAAAAAATTACTACTTCAAATATTTATATACATGCTTTGGAGTAAAGTGGGGAATTGCCTCCTGAAATCCTTTCCATTAAAAAATATAACAAATAATATACATTTGAAAAAACCAGATCATACAGATCATACAGAAAGCATAGTCTGTTTGAAACTTTCTTTACACAATTGTGTTAAAATTGCAATCTATTCCGACCTGTTTGAGTCAGATAAATATAAACTGGACTAAGCACACAATTCTTTGACACAAACTGTTTAGTCAATAATGGGTCATGAGTCACAAATATGAGAAACTCATATGTGGTTTGTTGATGTATTCTCTAAGAAATTAATGTAATTTATTTCCTACTCATCTTATGGACTAATTAATTGGGCCATTAGTATCACATTAATGAATGGAGTGAAAAAACCTGTGCAGTCCAGAGCTGGAATTTCAGAGGTGCAGCAGAGAAAGAAAATCAAATATGGAAAAAGTCAAAACAGTGCCTTGATTAGGAACATTTTCTCATGAGTATGACAAAAGAAAATGAAATAACTGATAAGTAACAGATGTCTGAAAGCTGTCTTATCCCTTGAATTACATCCAATGTTCTTGCTACCATTGGAAGAAGAGGTGCAGTCATTTGGTAGGAAAACCATGCATTTGTCCACAGAAAATCAAATCTGATTCTCCTTCCAAAACAGTATGACACCCTTTCCTTTTATCTACAGCACTTATAGAACATTCTTTCTTTCCTTTTGTTGCAAGCAGATGATAGACATCATTCTCGTTATATTTTCATGAAGGTAGTGGAAAAGTCTCAAGGGAAGGTTGAGATAAATAGAGGTATCATTATGGTACAGAAACAGGAAAAGTTGAAAAAATATGATGAGCCTTTTCAATTTCAGCATTGAAATCCTACGCAGGACAAATGTTCCTATAACTCCCAAATCCATTGCTGATCAGGCGATGTATAATAAAATACCTTCTCATTAAAATTAAAACCATCATGTAACAGCAACAGTATTGTGGAAAAGTTAGCATTTAAGCATGTAAAAACCAAATATTCTTTTGATGTCTCAGTATGCTGCTCACTGAAACTACTAAGTTGTACTAAGCATGTGGTGTCAAATCAGGGACAAACAGTGTTTACTTTCTTTCACAATTCGCTGAGCAGGAGAGCAAAGATAAATGCCAAATGAAGAGGAAAACGGTAAACATGCAACTAGTGATTTATTTTGGTTCTGTTTGAACCGATTAATGCAAGACTTTGGACTTAGCAAGCATGTGGCATATGATCACGTATGTGGTTTTCTATTCATAATTCCTTCCTGCTGGAATATCATTGCTGGCACACAGATACTATATAAGTTTGATATAATAGGTAGGAAAAAGACAAATTCAAGGCAATGCTTCCCTATTTCCTGCATGTTCCACATGTTATATATACCCTGATAGGAGAAAAGAGGCAGAGAGGAGCAAAGAGGAATGCTGTGGTTACCAACAATGTCC